TTCAAAAACTACTGGAATTTTTTTGCCTCTGTACAGTAACATTAAAGCCTATTATCACAAAAAGGCTGCAAAAGATAATATGAAGTGAGTGCCATTGATAGATCATCAAATATAGATAATCTTTTAAGTAACTCAAAGATCTTTTTCCATAACTGTCCAAGACTAAGGTTAAAACTGATTTTTTTATTGGACTTAGGGTTAATTAACAGCGAGAGGCTAAATAAGCGCAAATTGGCATATGTGCGAACTGGCATAAGTGTAAAGCGTTGCAAAAACTGGCATAAGTGCAAACTGGCATATGTGTTAAATTCGCATAAGTGTGCCAAAAGATTTTGCAAACATTAGTATAAGTGCGAACTGGCATAAGTGCAAAGCAGTTGCAAAAACTGGCACAAGTGCAAACTGGCATAAGTCCAAATAGGCATAAGTGCGAACTGGCATAAGTGCAAATAGGCATAAGTGCGAACTGGCATAAGTGCAAATAGGCATAAGTGCACCGAATAAAATTGCAAATAATGGCATAAGTACAAACTTATTATTAACTTAACTTTAAATTTTATTAAAATAACAAATAAGAAACATTATAATGTATAAAAGAATAGAAAACAAGTGTGCATAAATAATAATATTAATAATGGTAATTATGAAATCAATCTTATACAAAAACAAATAGACTAAATTTAAAAAACTTAAGATAAAAAAATAACCTTGAAAGCATTCATTTATTTCATTACTGATAATGTAGTACCAAGTAAAATTCTCCCACCTTCCATATAAAGGATTGCACCATTCACATGTACTATTTCGAGGCGTGCATGCAAAATCCCCTAAAATTAAAAAAAAAATACAAATAGTAAAACTAAAATATATTATCACTAAAATATCAGTAAAACTAAAATATATTATTGATTTGTCAAGAATAAAATTGCATTTATTATTATTATTATTATAGTAATAATATTTCAATAATTACTACTATTATTATTTCAATAATTATCACTGATATTACATCATCAAAATAAAATTAAATAATATTTTAGAAAAATTATGGTACTATCTTACTTAAAAGTTAACAAATGTTGAATAAATTTTAAGTCTGGGTTTAAAAAAATTTCTGAAATTTTTTATTCCATTAGTTCAATAGAAATATACCTTTTTCCTGACTTTTTCTTTTTGCAAATATTTTCCCCTAAAGATGGATAATGTGTTCTTGGGGTAAATTCTACTAAATAACATGGCCGGATTTGTTGCTGTATTTCTTTTTATAATGAGCACATAAATTTACCAAAAACATTTATATTACAAAAGTTTAATCAAGTCAAGATTCTTTTATTTCTCAAAAAAAAACTTAATATTGTCAGACAGTTAGATTTATCTGCAACTTTATTTTGATGTAACCAGCTACATTGATGGCAACTTCATAAGAGTCATGACACAGCTCATTCTTATAAATATTGTTGACATATTTTTCCAATTTTATCAAAAGGTCATTTATGTCAATTTTTGTATCAGATTTTAGATCGCTTGTCCAGCTACTGATATTAGCATTAAATAGGGATTTCATGATTAATATCTTTTCAGATTTTTGAACTTCTCATAAACTGAAAAATCTTCCTCCACTAATTTGATGATATTTACTGAAATACCTTTCTTATGGATCTGTTTGAAAGCTGCTAGTTAAAACATACTATATCCTTCTGAAAATAAATTTTCCATCAGGCTTGCAGTACCCTTCAGTTTTGTAATTAATACAGTAGTTGTTTGAACAGATTAAGTATTTTTACAACATTTTTTAAATTGTAGATTTTTTTATTAATCCATGTTGCAAAATCTCAAAAAAACTGTGTTTTTTTATCACCTGGAATAGCTGCATTAACAATCCTATTATTTATTATTAATAAGTTTTAAAAATCCAGCAGCTGCAGTTTCGCTTAAAAAATAGCTGATGATTGCAGCAGAGGTGGTTGCATTGAAAATATTTAAAACCAAAGGAACACTTTGTTTGTTGTTTCCAGGATGTTTGGGCAGATAATTTGAAAGCTTTTTTCTAAGTTAGTAGGTAACAATCATCTTTCTCATAGATTCAATAAAGTCAAAGAAATTTCACCGGCTTCAACATGAATAATATCATCAAACTTGATGAAATCAAAAGGTGGAAATACAAATCTTTTTTGAATTTAATAAATCATTCCTATATTTTTTAGTAAATGAACACTTTTGTATAAATTATAAACTAGGTGTCCCATAAAAATAAAAAAGATGTCATTATCTTGTTCACCAAATTTTAAACGTAGAATCTTGAATGCTGAAACATTTCTTGTATGATTTTCAGTTATAGCTCATACATTAAAAGATGTTTATATAAAGTTTCTAATATTTCTTCTATATATGAACTAATCAAAGAAATTTGAAATTCTAGATATATTTAAATGAATTCTCAGATTATTATATATTATTACTACTATTATTATATCTTATCATTACTATTATTGTATATTGTCATTACTATTATTCTATATATATAGAGATTGTTGTTACTATTGTTATATATTATTATTTCTATTATTCTTAACTGTATTATAACCTACTATTATTAATACTATTTATAGTAATATCTATTCATTATATTTATCATTATAAAAATAATAATTTGGCACAATTATTATTATTATTACTATATTATTATTATTATTATTATTATTGTTATGTAATTAATATATATAATATTACAAAAATAATTTATAAATAATCTAGTGAATATTGTTAATATTTTAAGTCATTCAACATAAGACTGTATTGATTAGTTTCTTTTTGAAATACAAAGTTACTAAACTTGACTTTTTTGAAATACAAAGCTACTAAACTTGACTTTTTTGAAATACAAAGCTACTAAACTTGACTTTTTTGAAATACAAAGCTACTAAACTTGACTTTTTTAAAATACAAAGCTACTAAACTTGACTTTTTTGTAATACAAAGCTACTAAATTTGACTTTTTTAAAATACAAAGCTACTAAACTTGACTTTTTTGTATTACAAAGCTACTAAATTTGACTTTTTTGAAATACAAAGTTACTAAACTAGACTTTTTTGAAATACAAATTTACTAAACTTGATAAATAAACTCATCTATGTATTGCATGTATTTATCACATGTATGCATGTATTACATGTATGTAAAAATTAAGGCTGTTCATAAGTGTACTTGTTTGACTGCATTGATTGGATGCTCTAAATGCAGCAATAGGTTTGTTTAAATAGTTTGTTCAACAGTGTGTAGATATTAAAGAAAAAGTGTGGTTTGGCTTAATTTAAATGATGAAACAACCTATTGGTAGTTTCAAAAATCTTTTCCAAATATTCAAATTATTCAGAAATCTGTTTTAAAAAATAAAACAGAGGCTTATATGACTTTTACAACTTGCTTATGAGAGTTTTGATTTCTTTAAACAAAATTGAATGGTTTTGACAACTAATAGCATTTGATTTATTCATCCCATGCCTTACTAGTGATCTGTTTTTAAAATCATTTTTATTGGTTCCCAGAGAGAACAGTAACATGTCATTGCAGCTAACATTTGCAAATTTCAATTAAAAATATGCTCATTAAATTCTAGAGATTCTTTAGTTTCTAAGAATTTCTAGCAAATTATTTAAACATGCTGTTTGGTAGAGTTAATGAGATGAAATATCAGATTTGCTTTTGTTAATAGTACTAATAAATATTTCTTAATTATTTTTTTCTAGTTTTAACTCTATAGTTTTAAAAGTGGTTTAACATCCAATAACAATAACATCTAATAACACTTAATATTCAAAATAATGTTTAAACTAAAATTAAATACATCATAGCTTATATTATAATTATTACAGGCATAATTTTATGTACATTAAAAAAAATAAAAATATGCTAGAGAGATTATTTGAGAAACATAGTAGGTTTTAGAGTAAAATGACACATTTAATTTTTGTTGCGATTTTTTTTGTTAAGTTGCAAAATTTTGACTTTAAATAATTATTAGTTATTACTTGTTTACTCAAATTAAAACTATTAAACTTTTACAATCTTTAATGTCAGTTAAAAAATGTTAGTTGACACAAAAATACAAGTTGACATTTTGAATTTAAATACTGTATTTATCATTTGAATGATCCAAATCATTTTTTTTGGATTAAATGTGTTTTCAAATTGCAGCTGTAAAAAACTTTGTCCTGCCAGGAGCATGTTTTCAGTGCCATATGGTCATAATTTTTTTAACCCTATAAACCTTTGTTAAATCTCTTTCTTATGGAACAATATTATTTAACATCACTACTCCACTTAAATCTTTCCTTAAATAGAAATTACTTAACCCACAAACTACATTTCTATGTTATTAGGAAAATATCATTTAAATTAGATATTCAAATATTATGGATATATAGATATATGGATTTATACATATGATTATATAATTCATATGTACATTACTAATATTTGTTTAACAGTTGTATTTTTATGTTCTTTATCTTTAAAATCAAAATTAAAATTTCACAGAATAAAAAATTAGAGGAAAAACACTCACATTGTTTCAAAGGACAAAACTGCACAGCCTCAATCATAGATGAAAACAAAAATTTATCATAAACTTGAAAGCAAACAAAACTCTGTTGTAGATCTATATTTGTATGCAACCCAAATGGGATATAGACATCACATTTTTCTGTTGTTTGAAAATCAATTTGAAATAAAATGCAAGAACCAAATTTGTAATTCTGGATTACTACATAATGCCAATCAGAAGAATTTATTAAATTAAATTTAACTTCTATATTATTTATGTTTAATCTAAATAAAAAAGAACAAAGATAAGTTCTAATATAATCAATTAATTATTTCATATTAAATATAAAATAAATTTAACTATACAAAGCATAAAATAAATTATATCTAAAACAATTAGATTTTTAAAATTTAATAAAACATATAAGATAATAAGTAAAAAAAAATAAACAAATACTTACATTAGGCTTTGCTTATTATTATTTGTATTAATACTTATGTAATTATTTGAGTTAAAATACATATTAAATATTTGCAGAGAACTTGCATATTTAAACCAAAACATGATTGTAAAATCAGTTATATGCCAAAAATCAAATGTCATCAATTGAGTAAACCAAATGAAATCATAACTGTCAAAGAAATTGGTTATTATATTTGTCATGGACTGATTAATATAAATATTTTTCAAAGTTGTATACAAATCATAACTCTCTGTAACCATAACAACAGGATATAGAAGAGAATAGTTCTTATCCATTGTAAAAATACTTCCATTATCTACAAAAAACAAAAACAAAAAAGACAATAAAAACTATGAAAAAATCAAATTGATTGATTGAAACAATTGGTCATTTAGAATTGGTCATAATTAATACTTAATTTAGTGCTCTTGCTGCTGCTGCCTATTTGTGCACGTTTACTTTGACTTTTTTACCATTTCATATAAATGGGATATAACATACTACTTCATTTATACTTTTGAACTCATGCAATGAGGTACTCTCAAATATTAATAATCTTTCAGTATCTGCTTAATCAGTAATAAGATCAAAAACTTTGCTTCATCAGCTTAATTAGTAATAAGATCGATTAAGTATCTTTTAAAATCAGGTAATTTATTTAATTCATGCATTATAATAACAACTCCTTTGTCAATTGTATTTAATATATATATATATATATATATATATATATATATATATATATATATATATATATATATATATATATATATATATATTAAATATATATATATTAAATATATATATTAAATATATATATATATATATATATATATATTTAATATATATATATTTAATATATATATATATATATATATATATATATATATATATATATATATATATATATACATAATATTCAAAGTAATGAAAGGATTTTTATGATGGATAATTACATTTTATCATTCCATGCTAGCAGTACTTGCTGAGCCGACAGGCCTTATAATTTTTTAATTTGCTTTATTTATGAGTTCTTATACGTAAAAAATCTGTTTTTTAAATTACTTTTTATTGTTTTTTTCGTTAAATACGAATAATATTTTGTCAATAATTAATAACAACCACCTTAAATATATAACAATACCAAGTTAAAAAGATTATATCAATTTATTTATAGCTTTAGTTTAAGTTCTTGATAGAAATATATTATATTTACACATTGCTCAATTATTTTAAAATATCTAATTTAAATATGACTAATAGTAGAGTAGAATATAATTAGAATATAATTAGAATATTATATTATGGTGTTTTATTTGCTTACACTGTATTTTAGATGAGTTTAAGAAAGAAAGCTCAAAATTCAATCTAAAAACAAAAGTTCAACTTTTATTATTTTAAGCATCATTTTTACACACACTCCTTTGATGCTTTAATTTAAAAAGAGAAATTATTAGACTTACTCAAAAAAAAAAAGAAACCAGATTAGACAAGCTGAGATAAATTGTAATCAAAATGAAAGAAATCAGGCTAGGCAAGAACTCAATAGACCTATCGAGTTCTCACCTAGCCTGATTTCTTATATTATACCTGTATATTTCTTATATTTCTTGTATAATATGAGACAAATTTAGTTATTTTATTTCTTTAGTTCTACTCAGGTGTACCAACTATCATATGTTTACTCTGTCTACTGTTAAAATATGGTCTAAATTTAGCAAACTTTAACTATAAGCTAAGTTGATCATTAGCTGATAATTTTAAAGAAAACTAGTTTTCACAATCAAGGTAAGAATAATTTTATTTTCTGATCAAATTGTAGACTTTGTTTGGACCAATAGATATTATGTTTTTGTTATTTTGGGTAATAACTGATTGTTTTTGCAATAAATGTCTTTTCTTACAGATTTTGACTATTTTACCTATGCTCTAGAAAAAGTACCAGCAACAGATAAATTGTTTTGTAGAGTTAATCTTTATTGTTTTCACTGCTTTTTTTATGTCTTAATTTTTTTATTTTAGACATCTTACAATGGTTTTTCAGCTTATTGCAAATCAAATAAAGGGCCCACATCTCATAAGACACATAAGATGTGGGCATAAACTTAGGGCAAAATCTCCACACATACCCCTCTCCCCTTTTCTCCTTTTCTCCTTTTCTTTTATATAGTGCTGATCCTGTAAAAAGTTAAGTATGAGGAGAGAGAGTGGTGGAAAAAAAAATGCTGCATCTATAATTAGTATTTTTGTAGCTGGTTAATCTACCAATTGGTAATTGATAATGCAAATTTAAATAAATTTATTTTGTAAATACATACTTTTCTTTATATTTTTTTTCTGTTATTAAGTATAAATAAATTGATTTCCAGTTAATACATGTGATGTAACTTTTTTCCTTTTTTCCTAATTTAATTTTAATTTTTTAATAGCGTTAAAAGATAATACTGTAGCATTAAAAGATAGTATTGTTTCAAAGTAGTTGAAGTAATTTGCGTGGGTCTAAACCTTTTCATTTTCACACTAAATTTTTTTATCAAAGTAAAGCAATTTTAAAGATCTATAGAGATTATATGCGTATGACATATAAAGATATACTATAAAAGACAAAAAAGAGAGAATTTTTTAAAAAGCTTTTTAAAATTTCTAACAACACAAAAACACTGTACGAAGTTTGCGTAAGTCACGTTAGACTTTAAGGTTTTAATGTGCTTAGTAATAGATTAAGTATGCGCATTAAAAAAAAAAATTCTTTTTTAAAGAAAAAAGATTTTACATGGAAACTTTACTTTTTTATTTAAATTAATACGGCAAGAGTCCTAATAACGGATCTTTTTCCGAATTTTTCTCAACTTTTAGTTTCTCAGGATAGCCAAAACATTTTCTGTACATATACAAGTTTAAGAATACATTTTTGTAATATATTTATTTTTTAAGCTTTTACACTCATCACTCATACTAAAATTTGAAAAAATTTGAAACAACTCAGCTAAAACCAAAATTAAAAGGAAAATATCCGGATATTTTACACAAACAATTTTCCGCATTTTATAAAATAACCTAGATGATCTATGGAATAAGCTGCTGATGGCCTAAAAAAAAGTTTATATATATATATATATATATATATATATATATATATATATATATATATATATATATATATACACATATATATATATATATATATATATATATATATATATATATATATATATATATATAAATATATATATATATATATATATATATATATATATATATATATATATATATATATATATATATATATATATATATATATAATAAAGTTAATCATTAACTCAAAACAAAGATTTTTATGTTTTAGCCTTTTTTAGAAATTATTGAAATAAAACCAAATTATTTAAATGGTAGGTATTGAATAGACTTACCATGACCAGAATATATTTATATTCAGTAATAATTATATGGGTCATGGTAGGTCAGTTATTCTACATATTTAAGTCATCTCATGTTTTTTAAAACTTTATACACCGATGGTATTTAATTTCAAGTGGGTGTTTTAAATATTATTAAGGCTGGTACTGATATCCAATTCATTGATAAATAGCGATTCATGCAACGACTACTAAAACGTTAAATGTTTTTTAAAGTTAAATATAATAGAATTTATCTTAAAGCTTTAAAAAGTAAACAATAAGTATTGTTATTATACATGTATTTAATTATTTTTCTATCTCTTACTAAAATATATTGAAGTAAGAAATAAGTATAGTAAAGGTGGGTATGGAATTGATTTACCAAGACCCATATTTTACGAGTCGTGACAGCTAGTATATAATATTTGCTTTATTTGATTTAAAAATAATGTCCATTGATACTAAACCATAATACATATATTCATAAAAATGGCCATTAATACAAAACCTTCATATAAAAGGACATTGATACTAAACCCTAATATATATGGCCATTGATACTAAACCATCATATGAATGGCCATTGATACTAAACCTTCATATAAATGGCTATTGATAATAAACCATCATACAAATGGCCATTGATACTAAACCTTCATATAAATGGCCATTGATACTAAACCTAAATATAAATGGCTATTGATAATAAACCATCATACAAATGGCCATTGATACTAAACCTTCATATAAATGGCCATTGATACAAAAACCTTCATATAAATAGCTATTGATACTAAACCATCATACAAATGGCCATTGATACTAAACCTTCATATAAATGGCCATTGATACTAAACCTTCATATAAATGGCCATTGACACTAAATAGATAAATGTTCTATGCTAGATTGAAAAAAGGTTGAACTATTATTGGGCATAGTTTTCATATGTCTTAAGATAAATGTTTAAGACAAGCTGTTTTTTTTTTTATTTTTTTTTATTTTTTTTTAAGGACCTAAGGTTAAATTGTTAAATGAAAAAAAAATTTAAATCATGAACTTCTGCATGAAATTTTTATTTTCCAATACTAACCCATCTTAGGTGTAACCTTCTATAACCCTGTTCTATTTGTTTTTGTAATTTTTTATTGTTTGTTTTAAGTGTGGTGTGATTTACTTATCTTAACATTCATAGATGTTTTTAAATATCCTACTTTAAATAGGCTTTTTTTTCCTCCACCAATCTTGCTATTATAGTTATTATTATGTTATCATTTGTCACTTGATTTGATTTTTTCTCTCCAATTTTTAATTTTTTTTTTGGTATTGTGAGAACAATAATTTATTTAGATGCCCAACAAGTCAGATTTAACAAGGACAATGTTGAATGTCTTAGATGTAAGAAAAAAGCCTGTAGACACCTCTGTGAACGTCATATCATTAAGCTCAATGTTAAAATGCTCAACAAGCATTCCAAACAAAGATGCTTAGCAATTATTTTCTGAAATATTGGGATCCAAAACATCATATACATGCAAAAAAGAAAAGGGATGTACCACAACTATCTTGATGATATTTGCTGAAGGACTTATAAAAAGCTATACTTTAAATGATTCAAATTAATTAGTAATAGTTGTATGGAAGAGAAATATTGATACCACTAGAGTTTACAATCAGGATGAAACTTCCTAGTTTGTAAACTATGGAGTAGATGGTACTCAAATGAGTGAGCATATGCTGGGAAGGGGAAAGTTATCAAAAGACGATAAGAGAAATAGGGAATGAAGCTGTAAATTCTTTTTTTTTTTTGGAAAAGATATAGCAATATGCTACATCATATTTAAGGATTACCTAATACATATTGGCTCCAAAAGAAGCAGTTAAAGCAATTCCAAATATCCTTATCTTCACAAATGACTG